AAAAACAAGACAGAGCAAAACCGAGCAACAATATAAAACACAACAACAACAACAACAACAACAAACTAATGGCCTGTCATTTTTTTCTGTGGGTCCAAGTGAGCTAGCATGGATTAAGAGACTTCCCAGAACAGTGGTTCCTAAAGTGGGCAATACTGCCCCCTGGGGGGCACTGGAATGATTCAGGGGAACTTCATACAAGATTTCTAGGACCTAGATTATGGGCTAGCACAAAATTTTTTCACTGATGAGGGGGGAAGGGAGTGCTGAGTAATTTTTTCCCTGAAAAGTGCACAGTAAGCCAAATAAGTTAGGGAACATATGCTATAGATTAAGATCATAATATGGCCTCTATTCATCCCCACCAATCATTCTTAAGTATCGCTTAAGTGCAGTTGATGGGTAACAAAGGCTTCTTGTTAAGTTTCAAACTGATCTAGTAATTCAAGTCATTTCCTTGCTTTTTGTGGGAAAATGACATTCAATCTAATTTAATTTCATATACAACTAAGAGCCCCTTGATGCATTTTAAGGGTTACTAAAATCTGGTATTCATAAACTAAAATAATTACCTAGAGCTTACTAAGGATTCAATTCAGTATTACAAGAAGTATAGCTACCCTACAGTTCTTAGCAATACTTTGAAACTGCTGTGAATGTATATGTACACGATTACCATGTACATGATTACTTGTTTCCTTAATTCTAAGACTAAATTCAACTGTCAGATATACCATCAATGCCATCACAATTTTTGATAAAAAGGAAACTACATTAAATGTACCCATTGACTGTAAGATTCATTTTAAGTTGGAAAGGTGAAGAATTATGCCTCAGAATTGGCAAAAGACCCGAAGTTGGAAATCCTGATATTTTCAGGAAAGTAGTTTTATTTGGAGTAGCTGTCTAAATAAAAAAAATAAACAAACCACTGTCAGTTTAGCTTCAATATAATTAATAAAATTTGTCTGAGTTATTTGATTAAAATTAGAGTTTATAGTGAAAATGTATAATTATGCCTCCGGGTCTCCACATTTGTTCCTGTGCCTAGAATGCTCTTGCCACAGACACACGGTTTTCTCATCCAGGTTTCTGGTGGAATTCTATTCTCTTAGGGCTATCAACCCTGACCACTTTATTTAAAGTTGATGCTCTTTCTAGGACATTACCCCCGCACCACCTTTCCTAGCTTTAACACTGTTATCACTCTTTGAGGGCCAGGATTTTTCTCTTTTGTGCTCACAACATATAACTTCAGTATCCAGAAGAGTGCCTGGCTTTTAAAGTATGTGTTAAACTGATTAAGTAACGGTACCTTTTATAATTTCCAATACTAGAGTTTAAGATATTGGTGTAAATATAAATTCACTCATATTCGCATTCCCCAAAGAGATAAACACAAAAAAACCTTCCCTACAGTGAGCACGTATAATGCACTTCAATGATGATTTATTGTTATGGAATTTACTTAAATAACTTTCAATACCAAAGTATCTGTAACAAAATACCCCTGCTATATTCCAAAGTATGGGGCAATACAACATTAAGCACATAAGTACATATTCTTCTTTTGTAAAGTATACTGATATTATATGCAATTTTTATATCTTTCTCCCCAATTCTGCTTATCACACATGCCGATGAAACGTGTGTATGTGTGTAAAATTTGTCATTCCTTAATCTAGCACAGTGCTTGGCGTAGACATTGCATTGAATCCAAGATGTCAATGATTGTAATATGATCATTGTTACATGTAATATGTAACCAAATATCAAAGCCACTGCCACTGAATTGATTCCAACCCACCACAATCCTATATAAGGTTTCTGAGACCGTAAATCTTTACCGGAACTTCATTTGTCCCTTTCAATACTGCTAGTGGGATTGAACCACCAACCTTGTGGTTAGCAATTGAATGCCTTACCCACTGTGTCACCAGGGCTAAAAAAGAAAACTGATGCCAGTTAAACAAAAGCATGACATCAAATGTAAAATGTACAGTGATGTTCAAAGATGTTAAAATGTAGAAAAATCATGTATTGCACTGATACAATTTTATTCTAAACCCACTGTTGTTGAGTCTCACTCATATATAAGGTTTCTGAGGCTGTAAATCTTTTTTTCTTTTTTTAAAAAATCACTTTATTTGGGGCTCATACAACTCTTATCACAATCCATACACACATCAATTGTGTAAAGCTCATTTGTACATTCATTGCCCTCATCATTCTCAAAACATTTTCTCTCTACTTAAACCCCCGGCATTATGTCCTCATTTTCCCCCTCCCTCCCTGCTACCCCCTCCCTCATGAGCCCTTGATAGTTTATAAATTGTTATTTTGTCCTATCTTGCCCTGTCTGACGTCTCCCTTCACCCAATTTTCGGTTGTCCATCCCCCAGGGAGATCACATATAGTTCCTTGTAATCGGTTCCCTCTTTCCTACCCACTCTCCCTCTACCCTCCCTGTTTCGCCACTCACACGACTGGTCCTGTAGGGCTCATCCACCCTGGAATCCCTGTATTTTCAGTTCCTATCTGTACCAGTGTACATCCTCTGGTCTAGCCAGACTTGCAAGGTAGAATTCGTGTCATGATAGTAGGAGCGGGGAGGAAACATTTAGGAACTAGAGGAAAGTTGTATTTTTCATCATTGTTACATCGCACCCTGACTGGCTTGTCTCCTCCCCTAGACCTCTCTGCAAGGGGATCTCCAGTGGCCTACTCATGGGCTTTGGGTCTCCACTCCGCACTCCCCCCATCATTCACTATGGTAAGATTTTTTGTTCTGATGATGCCTTATACCTGATCCCTTCGACACCTCGTGATTGCATAGGCTGGTGTGCTTCTTCCATGTGGGTTTTGTTGCTTCTGAGCTAGATGGCCGCTTGTTTACCTTCAAGCCTTTAAGACCCCAGACGCTATACTTTTTGATAGCCGGGCACCATCAGCTTTCTTCGCCACATTTGCTTATGTACCTTCAGTGATCAGTTGGACACCTCGTGATCACACAGGCTGATATGTTGTTCCATGTGGGCTCTGTTGCTTGTGAGCTAGATGGCCATTCGTTTACCTTCAAGCGTTTAAGACCCCAGATGCTATATCTTTTGATAGCCGGGCACCATCAGCTTTCTTCACCATGTTTGCTTATTCACCCGCTTTGTCTTCAGCAGTTGTGTCGGGAAGGTGAGCATCACAGAATGCCAATTTAATAGAAGAAAGTATTCTTGCATTGAGGGAGTACTTGATTGGAGGCCCAATGTCCTTCTGCTACCTTAATACTAAACCTATAAATATAAGCTCATAGATCTATTTCCCCATCCTCATAAATTTATTTGCATATGTATATGTCTTTATCTAGACCTCTATAAATGTCCTTTGCCTCCCAGCTCTCTCCTCTATTTCCCTTGATTTTCCTCCTGTCCCACTATCATGCTCAGTCCCCACCAGAATTTCAGCACTTCCTCTTTGTAACATTCCCCTTGATCCTGCCCTACCAGGTCTCCCACGCCCACCTCCCCACCAATTTGTATCGCTTGTTGTTCCCTTGTCCCTGGGTTTGTTAACACCTCAAATCTTGACGGCAGCAGATAGCCCTATCTTTCTTCCTTGAACGGCTGGTGAGTTTGAATTGGCCATCTTGTGATTAGCAGCTCAATGTTTACTTAACAAGTGTCACGGGGACTCAAAATTTGATAGCAAGTACTTAACATTTACTGATTAAATCACTTCTATTATGCAGTAGAATAAAGGACAGAGTGGAGGCATGGCAGCTGTGATCTAGCTCTGGAACCAATACTATAAAGTATGTTGCTCCATTTGAGAAATGAATATCAAGCATAGTCCACTGGGAAAGGACATATGGAAAATGTAACCATTGAGGAAGCCCAATACTACTCAGCTAATAGCTCCATGCGAGCTTCAATAAGGAAGGAGGCATGCCTTAGTGGTACAAATAATTTGGTCTTGAGCCCTAGGAGAGAAGGAGTTATGTCAGTTGGCTTGGCTGCTCTAAGAGGAGAATGTAGCAACATTTTAAGAAGTATGGGTAGATCTCCCTTTAAACAGTTTGGGTAGACCACCCATTCCAACCAATGTTGATGGAAGATCACTGAATCTAGTCTCATTCTTCTTAATTATCTAGATTTTATCTGTGTCCTAAGTAAACCTCTGGAGGAATACATTTTTATTTATTATCTAATAATAAAAGGAGTCCGGGTGGTGTAGTAGGTTACAAGGTGGGCTGCTAATTGCAAGGTCAGCAGTTCAAAACTACCAGCTGCTTTCTCTGCAGGAGAAAGGTGAGGCTTTCTGTTCCCCAAAGGATTTACAGCCTCAGATGCCCACAGCAGCAGTTCTCTTCTGTTCTGTAGGGTCACTATGAGTTGGAATTTATGGCAGTGTGGGGTTTTAGTTTGGGTCTAACAATATTTAAAATAAAAATATATTACTTTGCAGAAATTCCTCTTAAGATTGGACTAATGATCAGATATGGATTACATACAACTAGCTGAAGAAAATATCCATACTTTTAAAAAAGAAAACTGCAAGCTACTGTGTAATTTATGCAATAAATTCAGACTTGAATTTTATTCAAGGGAAAAAATAACTTGGTTCTTTCATATGAGTGTTTGTTTTCCCTGCAATAGGAGATATGTTTAGCGAATCAGAAGACCTGATTTCTAATTATGGTCTGGCCTCTACTTAGCCAGGGAATTAGATTAAAATATATCTAAGTTTGTTTTAGCTCTTAAATTAAATATATCTAATCAGAAAAATAGTCCATCTTTCTTGGGTCAGACAGCACAGTGAAATTTAGTGTTAAATGGTAGTAATTTGGTTATTGGCAGGTAATGCCTACATTTCCTGTTTATTTTTAAGCATTCTGTTTTTGCTTTATCCATAAATGGTGCATTTCCACTCTCCTTTAACTCTGTAAAAGGAGAACTAGAGGTTAGTGTGGTTGGTTATGCTTTGGGCTGCTAGCTGAAAGTTCGGCAGTTTGAAACCAACAGCTGCTTTGCAGGAGAAAAAATGAGACGGTCTGCTCCTATAAAGATTTACAGCCTCAGAATCCCAAGGGGCAGTTCTACTCTGTTCTGCAGAATCACTATGAGTCGGAATTGACTTGATGTTGGTGGATTTTGGGTGGGTCTTACCCTGTAAGCCACCTTAGTCTACTTAAAAGCAGGAAGGATATAAAATCTAAATAAAAGCATCGAACTTCTAACATGAATTATTGTTGGTAGGTAGAATGGTAACTTTGCTTTCTTCACATTTGATTGCTGCTTTTATTGCCACAAGCTACAAACGTTTAAATTATTTTAATACAGCTGAGATGTCTTAGTCGGTTTTAATGGATCCAACCCACTCATTGGCATCAAGTCAATTCTGATTCATAGAGATCCTATAGGACAGAGTAGAACTTCTGAATAAAAATTGTAGCAAAGAATTCCCATATATCACAAAACAATTCATGGGACTGAATATGAAGTTTATTTACAAACATAGTAATTGAATTTTTTTCCTTCTAATAGGGTACACACAGAACTGTACTTAAAAGAGCAGGAAAGAGTAAAGGGGAAAAAAGAATCTTGACAAGGTCAAGCAATCTATTGCAGCACTACAGATTTAAGACATTCTGTATTTTCTTTCAGACATTAAATTGCTAAGGTTTTTGTTCTTGTCCCTTTATCTTAGAGTAACTAAACCGAGTGCTCAGAAGCTCCTTTTAATGCACAAATACAAATATTTCCCCTCTTAATTACCACAGCAATTCATTTTGGCCAAGATTTTTTTTAAGGAATGCAGCTCTAATTCTAAAACAAATGAAGCTCTTATTATGGATTTTTGAACACTGTCAATTCTATTGGAAAGTATTTGGAGAAAGAAGGATGGGAACCAGAAAAATTTTCTTCTTCTCTAGCTCTCTGACTACTTCTGAGATGAATTATCTTCTCATTTAGCTGCCACTTTCTTCCTATATTCTCTGCTTTAATGTCAGTGTATCTGAATCATGCAAGGGTAAAGTGTATATTAAAGAAGGAAAAAACGAGTCCTAATTGAGAGGATCCCCTATGAATAGAAGTATGTTTAACTCCTGTTAAAAATAAATAAATAACTCCTAAAAAAATAAAAAGCTCAGTTAACTAGGGCGGGGGCAGGTGGGAGTTTCAAAATGTTTGTGGAAAAATTATATTTTCATTCTACTTCCATGAATTTTTTGGAAGCTCCTCTATTTTATTAACTATATTTAAAATCTGTTAAGTTAATCATATTTAATGGGGCAAAGAGTCGACTTACCTAAGATGGTTACTTCAAAATGGCCAAGGTTGCTAGCAGTCTTAATGTTCTTAAATTGGGTGCATCCTTCTTCTGGTGGTGAATATATTGAAGACTGAAGATTGTACTGCTGACTAAGAAAATTTTTGTGTTGTAAAACAAATTTACGTGGAATACTTTCCGGGTAAACGTAGCTGTAATGGAGGTGATCTATTAAATGAGACTTCATTTCTCTCCAGAGTGGACTTTCCCACTTTTCATTAAGACATTCTCTGGATTTCCCTGAGGAATGATTGCTTGTGCTTTCTTGACCTATAAAAGACAAAAAGAAATCGATACACAATGCACAAATACAAATATTTACAAACTAGGTAAGTGAAATCATGTATTGAAGTAAAGCCCACATTAACGAGGGATTGTTTAATTAACTTGAAATCAAATAACTTCACATAAAATATAAAGTGATTGTTTTAAAAAATATGAACGTGAAGAACTAAATTTACTTTAAAGATGAAAATTCACTCCAAAATATTGAAATGATCATGCTTTCTCTACTGTTAAAATGAAGATTTGTAATTGTCTACTTTACACTTTAAAAATATTTACCAAATGCTCCCAAAGAAATATGCAAGCAAATTTCTTATATTCATGGATGAATTTAAGTCAAATAAAAGTCATGAGGATAGAATCCTTTGAGATAGAATTTTATCACCAGGGAATTTGAGCTTAAAGTAAAATTGTGATGTTCTATAGAAATAGCCTGCAAAAAGTATTTTTTGTAGACATCTCTCCTCAAAAGGCCATTTATTTATTATATATGATATCCTTTCAGATATAAATAACTTATGTGAAGTAGAGAAGTAAATTGACATGAAAAAATCCCTCAATTCTTGACTGCTCTCTATCATCAAAAGCCAGTTTATAATTTAATCTAAATTTTTCTAACACATTTAGTTCGTAAGAAAGAATATAGTTTTCCCTTAAACATTATAACATTAATTCACTTATTCAACAAATAATCATTGAATATCCACGATGTGCCAAACACTGTGTTAAGGAATTTGGTACAAATAATAAATAATTGAATACTATACCCTGGGAACTGAAGATGTAATAGGTATGCTAGCTAAACCAAGTGAAGTACAGTGATCAGAACACAAACTGGATCTAATACTGGAAATGCAGGAAAGTGGGTGCAAGCCTAAGGAATCCAGGTAAACACAGAGCAAGGAGGGAGCCATAAAATAGGAATAGTGGAAGATCCTTGTAGTGGAGGCTGAAGGTTCCCCCATCCAACTGGCTTAGGGACAGCCTTCCCACTCACATTTGCCTGGGGCTAGCTACGTCCTGATTTCCAGTTGCATTTGCGGGGAGTTCTGTAGTGCCCATACCAGAGACTAGGGGGACATGTTCCCCTTACTTCCTGGTGTGCTCCCACAGTGTCAGACCTGTGTCTGGAGGTTTGCACTAGCCTCAGTTCATCTCTGTGCTTCCATACTTGCCAATGATCTATAGCACATATAACAGAAGGCTTGTTCACTGTCATTCCAACCACCTCCACACTGCACTATCCACCCCAGAACTGGTGGTTCAAGTTCCCATGCCACTCAGCTGGGAACAAGTCATCCATGCATCCTTTCCACCATCACCCAGCCACCCAACCCAGCCACCAATAAGAATACTCCCTACACCCACAACCAGGTAACCAATGTCATTCATATCCTGACAAGAGACTAGCTACACCACTGCCCAACAATGAGCAAGAAATCTTAGTGCTCCCAGGTAACATTAAAACAGTTTCGGCATACCATTTACACTTAAATAAATCAACACATTAATGTCCTGAAAGCAGCGAAAAATAACAAATAATATGAAACAGGATGAGATGGCTGAGAGAGGGAGAGAAAGCAAAATAAAGGGGAAGAAAACATTTCTGAGGAAGAACTAGTAACAGAACAAGGAATTTAAAGGAGCTGTATATAGGATACTCAAAGAGATTATTTCAAAGTCAGAAAAGAATCCAGGAAAACAGTATAAGAACAAATTATTGAAATAAAAGACAATATGAAGCTATACAGAACAGGAAGAAACATAGGTGATTAAATAAAATATCACACATTGATAACTCAAGAATAGAATTGAATCAATGGAAAAGATAATCATCAAAGCAGAGGATAAATCCCTGGATGATAAATTGTTTAAGGAACAACCACCAAAAAAAGGATGAGAAAGAAATAGAGAACTCCTAAGAAGTTATGTGAAACACTAGAGGAGGGAATACAAAGATGCTCATGGTTATAACCCACTATAGAGCTACACCCTATAAGGAAATACCATTTATCTCTGTAAAAATGGAAACAATCAGAAAGCAATAAATGCTGGTGAGACTGTGGGGGCTGAAGCACTTATACTTTGGTGGTAGGAACGTAAAACATTATGAACACTAAGGAAAACATCATAGTATTTCCTCAAACAGCAAGAAAATGAAATACCCTACAATCCAGCACTTCCTCAAAAATCTATAGATAGAAATACATTAAAAATCTATAAATAGAAATGCCTTAGAATTATATATCTTAAGATACATAAGAATACACAGACATATACACACACCTATATATAGTGCAGTATTATTCACAATAGCAAAAAAAATGGACCCAACCTAGGTGCCCATCAGTTGATGAATGGATAAAGAAACAGTATTATACACAGTGTAATATTTTGCGACCATAAAAAACAATGAGTTAAGGGCAACATAGGTACATACTGTGTTATAAGACATAATCCTGTAATAACACTAATCTATGAGTGGACACATGGACAAATATGTAAGCCGTGAAATGGAGTGGGATTATACTCACAAATATATATAGTTTTGACAGGATATTTCTACATGTGTATTTACTTATGCTGCAACTATATCCATGAATATGATAAAGCATCTAGAGGGCAGAGTTATGAAAATTTCCTAGACATAACCAAATATCCTGAGAGAATGAGTCACAGGTGTTGGGGTATCAGGACTATGGTGTTAGGGGACACCAAGGTCAATTGACATACCATAGAACACAGAGACAATGTTTTTTCTCTATACTACAGTACTTTGGTGAGTAGCAAGTGGGGTCTTAATAGTTGGTGAATGATCATCTAAGGTACAACTATTGGTCTCTCCCTTTCTGGAGGAAAGAGGAGTGAAGAAAATTGAACATACTGTACATGGAAACAATTAGTCTAATGGATGAATGGACCACACAAACATCAGTCTTTACAACCCTGAGACAAGAAGAACTGGTGCCTGGTTACTAATACCAATGGTTCTGAAAAGGGATTGCACTAGAAGGTTCTGGGAGGTCTAAATTCAGGCATGTACATATGTAAATATATATATATATAATGAGAGAGGAATAGAACTATATACTCATATCAATATGTTAAGAATTAAGGTTGCACGTGGACATTGGGCCTCGATTCAAGTACTCCCTTAACACAAGAACACTTTGTTCTAACAATCCAGCATTCTGTGATGCTCACCTTCCCGACACAATCGCTGAAGACCAAATGGGTGCATAAACAAATGTGGTGAAAAAAGCTGATGGTGCTATCAAAAGATATAGCATCTGGGGTCTTAAAGGCTTGAAGATAAACAAGCGGCCATCTATCAGGGAAGCAACAAAGCCCACATGGAAGAAGCACACCAGCTTGTGTGACCATGAGGTGTTGATGAGATCAGTATCAGGCATCTAAGACCCAAAATAAAACCATACCCAAGGTGAATGGGGGGATGGGAGACCATTGAGTGGAGACCCAATGCCCATCTGTAGCCATTTGGACATCCCCTCACAGAGGGATTGTGGGGAAGAGATGAGCTAGTCAGAGAGCAGTATAGCGCCAATGAAACACATAACTTTCCTCTAGCTCTTTGGTGCTTCCTTCACCCCACTATCATGACCTCAATTCTACCTTACAAATCCAGTTAGACCAGAGCATGCACACTGCTACAGATAAGAGCCCACAACACAGGGAATCCAGCATAGATAAAGCCCTCAGGGCCAACAAGGAGAGTAGACATACCAGGAGGATTAAGGGAGGGTGGGTGGAGAAAGGGGGAATCTATCACAGGATCAACCTAGACACCCCCCCCCTGCCCCGCCAGGGGGACAAATAACAGAAAAGTGGGTGAGGCAATGGTGAATGATGCAAGATATGGAAAAAATAATCCATAACTTATCAAGGGTTCGTGAGGG